ACAATCGCCAAGTCTATGTCGTGACACTCTAGCCGATGGCATTATCGATTCGTCATGTCGGACATTGCATTCCGTTAAGTGTTTCATTCCGGTGACGCCCCGCCAGCTCGTCAAATTGTCATTGTTGCGAAAGTGGGTCGCGCAGCTGTCGGATTTCCCGGTCGCAAAATTCGCCAAGAAAGTCGCGGTTTCTTCGGTCCTGCGAATAATAAAGAATCGACAGGAAGACACGAATGTATTCGGGATCTCGCGCAGCCGCTTCGGGTCACTCACCGAGTATAAATTCTCCGGGAACTCGCAGTCTCAGCACGATCGCGCGGAAAATTCGCTGAACGGACGTGTACTCGCCCGATAATCCTACGTGCAATTTCATATCCCCCATCTGAGATCGAGTAAAGCACGCGTGATAACGTGAAATTATTCCGCACGGTGGAACCGGTTCTTTTGAATCGCGGGATTATTTCCCTAATCTCCGTGCGAGAGGCGTGTATATAATTTTCTACAAAAGAAAATTGCGATTGTTTGTGCTCCGCGCGCGGTAATGAAGGTGGCAAATAAACGGCATAACACATTGAACATGAGATATTAAAATAATGATACAATAAAACGGGAACTAGTTTTATTTGCTGCATCCACTTTTCGAGATTGTAAAACGCACGCGAAATTATTCAAAGTTTCTTTATGCACGCTTTTTGTAAGTTCTCGCGGAATGAACTTTTTCTAATCTTCGTGAGAAAGGAAAATAATTATATCTGTAATAAAATTGCGAACATTTATTCTTTTTCCGCGAGTAAAATATGGTGCCGTGGAATTAAGACTAATAAATGCGGGGATCAATGAGCAAGCACGTAATGGATCGCATATTTCGTCAATGGCGATAAAAAGAAATTAATGCGCCCATAAAATGCATCCTGCGTGTGAGCGTGAGAGTAATAAAAAATCCAGGCAATACATCTCAGCGCGCGGCACGAGAGATTTTCGCGAATGAAGCCGACAATCGTCGAAATGGGACTGCAAAACGTTATCGATGAGAGGGAAAGTAATGGAAAATTGATCGGGTTTGATGACAGTCAGGTGTGAGCGTAAACGATTCTCGTCGCGCGGTTATTATTTGATTCGGTCACATCGCGGATTAAAATGCACGTGCCGTCGCATTAAGTGCCGCGTATTTTTTTAAGCGTCTGTTTCCCGCCGCCACTGTTTCCCTTATACATCCGAGATTGCGTCCTGAATTTGTGATTCCGTTCCGACTAATGCCGACGACGTAGTGCAAAAAAAAAATTGAATAATCGACGCGGTAAAGGTTTTATCATGTTACGCAAACTTTTTAGATAACCCGTTACTACGCGCAAACATGTAACAAAAAATCTGTTGACACAAAGTGAACAAAAATCATGTTACATCGCGAAAACGAAGAAAATATTGATTTCACGTGCAGTGGAGAATGTTTTACGTTTTTTTTACCCTCTTTCGGAAAAAAATGGCAAAATATTTGTTCGAAATTTCAGAATGGTATTTTGACGTGGTCAACAAGGGCCATCGATTCTACATACTTTTCGATGTAACTGTCTCCGATGAGAGACAAAAAAAAATAACATAAAAATCGTCACGCATTTGATACAACAAGCGTATCCTTTAACGTATTATTGTTTAACCCAACCACGAAATCGAATTACATCGGTCAAATGTATCGCGCACGTGCCTATGTCCCATGTCATTTCACAACAAGAGAGGAAATTAAAGCCAAACGATGGTAGTCGATCGATATGAGAAACGAAAATCGACATTCGTGAATTGTCCGCTAATTGACTGTTCATTAGCATAAAAAATAACGTACCGAATGAAAATGAAGCGCGTGAAAATGCCTGCAGGAAGCGGCACAAATTTTAATATTAAAAACTAAAGCACTAGAAGTCAATGCAGAAATTGATACGTATTTTCTTTAGAACATTTTAACAAAATTATATCTGAATGTTTCGGTTTGAGTCTTCATCAGTACACAATAAAAGAGTTACACTTTATTTGTAGAACACTTGCATTATTTTACTTGCTCGTTTCTATCAATGTAGATTAAGTTTATCTCAGTTTAACATATTTTTCATCTTTTTCTAATTCTTGTAACTAGAAAAAAAATAGAAGAATTAGTTGAATCGAGATTAAAATCACGTTGACAGAAATAGTAAAATTAATTTTGTAGTACGTCATGTAGTGAACCCGGGACAAGCTATTTTGGATTTTCACGTGAAAATTTTTATTCGACAAAAAACATTCTATCAGAAATTACGAATTACAAGTGATAAAAATCTCATCAAAGGATCGTCTTAATTTTTTTTAATCGAAAAACAATAAGAGATCCGACAGACATGTACATCTTCAATGCTTTAACACTCAAATTCTGGAAACCTTTACTCACTTCTGCATTACCAGCCTCCAGTGGATAAACACTGTGTAGAGGAATCACTGAGTAGCAACGCATCTCCGAGAACCTTCTCGCATTTCAAATGGGATAACACCACGTCGCCGTGGCGCGTTTCACGCGTAATTCCCTTGAAAAGTTAAACCAGGACATATCCTGTGTGTGCATATTATATGCAGTGTACGAATGCATCTGACACGCGAGATGCGCGCAGCCCGAGAACGTGTCTACGCGCGGCTATGACAATCGCGGCGCAGCCGACCGACCGAGTTGACATTTTCACGTTTTCCGGGTCCTCGTGTCGTAATTAATTATCGGTTCGTCGCGACCAAAATAGACAGCCGCTCACTCGAGCGGAATTTTGCGTGCCGACCGATATGACGGCCGGTGCGAATTCTGTCTTCGGCAGAAATTAGAAGTCGACGTGTAATTCCGCGCCGTCGACGTCAGTCGGGGTCGACCCGTTCCTGAACGCGTTTTAAACGTTTCGCATCCACCGACTGCATTAATCATAACATGTAATTAGGAAAGAGCTTTTAATCTTTTAATAGATAGGTGGGTATAGTACGTATGATACATATAATGATTTAAAAAATCTTTTTCTGTAAAAGAAAAATAAGAAATATTGCCTAGAAATCTCAAAGTTCATTTTTACATTCCGATTTATTAATTAATAAGGATAAAAACAATATCAATTTAACTCTATATAGATTATTAAGAAGTATAATTAGAAAATACAAATTTTTTTTAGATGTTCTGAACATCTTCCCACTTACTTAAAGATTAAATAAAATTTAGGTCGCGGTATTTATGGTCAAGTTTTATTTCAAGAGTGTCTTAATATTTTAAGCTAATGCTTCTGTTATTGATTTTTGATATTTCAAATCGTATTTAAAACAATTTTACTAAAAGAACAATTTTGTTACGGTATCTAAAAATTTAAGTAAATACAGATTTACAAAATAATTTTGTTCAACTAATTTTATTAAAATAATTATGTAGGATACTGTGAAAAATTTTGATATTCTAGTAATCAGTTTAAATATCGTACATAATTATCTTGATAGTCCAATAAAATTTATTTTCAGATCTGTATTTAGTTAAATTTTTGAATACTTCAATAAAATCTTATTCTTTTCGTGTAAATAAGAATCGACTATGAATCGACTTTATAGAAGTAGGAATTTTTCGGGATCACTTAAAGTTCAGGCAATCGCGTACACGATACTTATTCCTTCAGCAGTGAAACAAGACCGTCATTTGCCTACTCATATTCAATATATAAACCTCGTCTGTATTTTATTATCACTGCAGCAGACTGCGCAACTTGACTTGCGATATGATTTTATGGGAGTCGTAAAACATCTGAAGATACGTCTTACGATTGGTACTCAAACATCTGCAGAGATCGCACTTTACAGTATACTATCATCGATACTGCTCTCCTTATACTCATATTTCGCACTCCACAGATTACGCGATTGCATTCGTTTCTTTTACGATTGCCAAAATCAATTTAATCGATATAATTACTTAAAATTCCTGTGCCTATTGTGCAGAGGCCATGCTCGACATATTCTCTTTTCCTTTCTACATTTTTGTCGAGCCAGCAGCTGAATTGCAGGAATCTCTCGCGTAAACTGTGGAAATATGCGACGGTGTATCGTACCGGCATAATTAACCCCCGACAATCGCTAATTAGCGACGAGTTTGTCGTGTTCGTGTTTCGGCTGAATCGTATGACGTAATCGTTACCGAGTAATACGGTAACGACAATGTCTGACGATCTAGTCGCGCGCGTTTATCCGAAATTACGCCGGTACTTGCGGCCGTGTAACTGAGAGAAATTGTGTGGTAAATATTTGCACGTCATATACGTGGGAAACGTGTTGCGAGTTAATTGGCTAGTCCGTTTAATAATAAGTTAACATCGGCGCATCACTCGCCGCAGTGCTAACAATAAAATTCATCTGTTGAAAGCGACGAATCTTCGATTATCAATAATAATCACGTTACATCGCAATTCAAGTAATTGACCAATTTGACAAATTTGAATTCTTCCATCTCGAAATTTTCCTGTTGAATTTTATTTTAAGCGTTTCGTCAGAAATTAAATCAAAATTTCTCTCGATTATAAAGCCTGATACTTTTGTATATAGAACGACTTACATTTCCTTCTAATTTACAGGATGATTACGAAAGGTTACATAATTTCATTAAAACATTTTATAAAATTGGCCGCTCGTAATGCGATTGAATGTTGGAGCGTTAAAGTGTGGAGCTCGTATTTTTTCGAGTAGATTTAATGCATTATGCGACATTCGTGTCATCCTGTAACATAAGTTCTTCCAGCACCCGGTAGCACACGTTGGATCCATCGATCAACCAGAAAGACACGATAAGACTCTATTCACCCTCGCCCCCGCGCTCCAGCTCTCTCACAACCAGCCCACCCTCTCGGCAGGAAATGACATGCTTACAGTGTCTCTTACAGCGAACGACCTAATTACAAGTTTACCTTTTTCTGTTTTCTGTTCGCTTCTTATGTTATGGACCGACCCTGGTTTCCGGTTTCTCTGTGCAGTCCTTCAAGGTAATTCGCCACCGCCTTTTTCTCTAGACTCTCTATTACCGCCTTTATCTCTCTTTCTACCGCTCTGAAACATTCATTCGGATCGCCGTCACATCAATGTGTCACCATAATTGTACAGAATGTCTCTCGAAAGTTCCCGTATTAGACTCGCGGATTCATGATCGTAATAAATCTTCGTGCATCTGCGCATCAAAGAGCTCCCTCTGACTCTTTTTAAAATCCATACGAAGAGAATGCATTTTACATATTTTTTTAAAAAAACATTCTGTATGTTAATTGAAATGTGGATGAATGCGGATAAAGGTGAAATAAAAAGATACGAATTTCAAGCCTTTTTATATTCGTTACTTTGTGGTGATACATACATATACACATTACATACATCATCCACACGCTCACACACAATTCATCATTTTCGATCTCTTCATTTTTCGCAATACATTCTATTTCTATTTTCTGCTTTCCTTCCATCACCCTTTTCGTTGTCTGTCTCTTTTGATATTTCTCTATTTCTCTTTCTCTCTCTGTCTCCATGAGCATTTCACGTCTCTTTGATAGTTTCATTTTTTCATATGCCTCTTCTCATGCGCCGCCATATTTTCTCGCTCATTGTCGTTATCTTCATTGCGTGCCGATGTCTGATCTTGTTCGCGCGAAACGTTTTTCAGGCTCGATGTAACGAAGGAAGTATTTACTCACAAAGAAGTGGAGAACGTTGCTCCCGGAGTTTCGGATCCTCCTATTTTAGCTCGCGTCGTACGAAAAGCTATACTCATCCCTCGGAAGAGGGAAGATGACGCTGAACTTTTTGCCGCGTATCTCGCGGAAAAAAGAGGCAGCAATATATACCTTCACGTTCCATCGATCCGCGTTTCGCGTGCAACGTCGTCCATAAACACAGACATTGGCGCGCATTACACGACGTCGCCAAGCTACTGCAAACTGCAAACCACCGTGAGAGCTTTAACGCGCGCCTTTTCCGCGTCCGTCGTGCACCATACGCGCAAGTAGAGCAGCACGAGCGAGACGAAGAACAAGAAGAGAGGCGGGCGCGTGCAAACGTCGTGCACGCTGATGCACGCGCTGAAGCTCTGTATACCGAAGTAGCGCACAGTCCTCCATTTTCGACCTACTAACTGTAGGGTAACTCCGGCAAATACGTCGCGCTGGGATTTTCACCGCAGAAGTCAGAAAAAATAGGAGTGGGGCTAATTTTCCCGCAATTACTCTGTTACGTTGCCTTTATGTTAGTATAGTGTTACGATTTCAGTTTCTTATTGTTAATATTAATGAGATTATTGAGTAAGTTGAATCGATTTGTCACTGTGTTAAGTAGCACCATCGTAAATTATAATCTACATAAAATGATTACTGTAGGACGTGCAAAAAGCTTAGTGGTTATTTCGTGATACATAGAGGAATAGTTAAGCATGTTGTATGACAAAATACAAGTACTCTTGTATTCTTTGTTTTAGTTTGTTGTCTTGTATATCCCACTTGTTTGGGATATGCGGCATTTTTAGCGGGTGGGATTTATGCCCAAAGCATACAAAGTGCGCAGATTGAATTCAATGCACTAAATGTAATAAACGCATCACATGAAATATGTCCCTCATGTCATAACACTTGTAATACATGTAGGAAGATTTTAATTATTATTTAGTACTTCATACACATATTTATCATTTTTATTCCTTAATAAAACTATATAAACTATATATTTTATAAGTTACTGTGTCATTTTACGTCTTATTTATATGCATTATTTGTAAATTTTTCCTGAACCGTACATATCCCCCTTTCCCCTATGAGTAGCCATATATCCCACCCCTGGGATATACGACAAAAATGCAAAGGTTTAAAAAATCATTTTTTAATACGAAATATAAATATTTTGGATTTCTAATATTTTTTTCACAATAGTAGACAGTACAAAGTTATTAACATAGTAAATAATACTTAATAAATTAAGTTTTGATAGGTGCGACGTATTATACCCGAGTTACCCTACCCTACATCAATAATACATTAAGCGCTTATCGAACTACAGACAACCAAATCGAAATGGCGGTCGAAATAGTCAATAGGAAGGTCGTCGGCATTTCAGCACAGATAAAAGGAATGCGCTACTTTGGTAATATAAAGCTTCAGCACGCGCGTGTGCGTTGCAAAGAACGAGCACGCGATCTCAGAAGAAAGAGAAGAGAAGAAACGCGCAATGCGCGCGCCCGCTCGCGAGCGTAGAAAAATGCCGCTGACTTTGCATTTTGTAGTCGGTGTTTTTTATGCGTCCTATTGCCTCTCTTTTTCAGCACCCTTTCCACCCTTCCGCTCACCCTCGACCCACATACACACCTTCGCCCTACCTCACGCTTGACGCGCCCGGTATAAAAAAAATCCGTGTATTTTTTACCCTCCTTTTTTTTTGCACGACACCGCTGTACGCCATCCAGCGCGATTTTTGAGGCCCTTTTCCACGGGACTGTTTACCTGCCGCTATTTACGATGCAAATCAAAGCGGGCCTCTTCCTTCTCCCTCTTTTTTATAGCGCAAAACAGACGTCGATCGATTAACGATTCAGGAAATCGGGTCGTTGAACCCTTGGCTTCTGTGCATTCTAATGAGGCTCTTGTCAGAAGCTTCTTCAGGAAAATTTACTGCTGGAGAAGCAAAGTTTTTTTTTTAGCAGAAATGTTAAGATTTTGATAGACATTCGTATATGAATATTTAATTATTAATTTTTTTTTTAATTTGTAATCGATCTTGGAATCTCCAGAAATAAAGATTCGATTGAAATCGAAATTCTAAAATAAAATATCTCAAGGGGAGGAAATATAATTGAGAAAGATTATTTTTTCAAAACATTAAATAAGCTTTCTCTCCACAATTTCAAATTGTCAAATTTTTCGATGTATGCTTTTTATAAATTTTTACAGAATTTTTCAGAATTCATTTCCTTCGGCATAAATCTGAGCGAATAAAATTATAAGTTAATATAAAAGCAAGAAATTTTTATCACCTCATGTCATAATCGACTCCAAAATTTCATTAAAAATATAATTTCAATTTATATAATAGATTATAGACATTTCATTATTAATGGATTAAGGGTTTTTTTGTCTAAAAATGAGACTTCGATTTTGTCGATGAGCCAAGATTCGAATTTGACCGACTTCGCAATGCGGCAAGCTGAAATTACGCGCGGACAATGTTCAATCGTGACCTTTTTACGTGCAGCTTGGTGGACTAATAACTTGGGTTAATGTTCGCGCTGCGGGTCACTCGTGTACCAGTTTTAGAACGTGAGCAAAATGCGAAAGTAATGAGTACGAGAACGATGACGCAACGCGATTTTGATGGGCATTTCTCAACGATATCTAATTGAAACAAAACACATTTACGTGTGTTATTGTTTATTAGACAAAAAAATGTTGAAAAGATTACTCTTCGAAAATCACAAATGCAAAAAGCCGAAAAGTAATAACTATTTTAAAAAAGTAATAATTTCGAATCGTTATTAACAAGGTTTTTGATGAATTAATTAAAGGTCAAAAAATAACGTTTAAATTTTAATCTGTAAATAATTGCAATTATTTTGATAGAATTTCAATCTCGTAACTTAATTATTACATTGAAAAATGCTAAATTTTAATAAATGTTTGTTTGAATATTTATAAGTAAATATTTACTAAAAATGTACACAAATTTGATATAAGAACCATTAATTTGATCTAACTATCATCTCTTTATTGAATAAGTATTTACTTACTATAAATAAATGTTTACTTAATATTATTGCAAAATATATATTGTATATATATTAAATATATATTGTATATATTTCATAAATTTTTTTTCAGTGTGACATATTTGCTGTCGGAAAACAGTAAGCAAATGTATTAAATAAAATTTTCATTATGCAGATATCGATCGCACGTTCATTAATTCGTAATATAAAAAAAAAACACGCTACTTTATACAACATTCCATATAAATTATGATGGCCGTTCTATTTTTAATAATCTAACATTTTTGTTACAACGCAAAGTACGAACATCGGATAATGTTCGAGATTATAATTAAACTATAAATAGTTTATCTCTCGTAGAGAAAAATTTTTCTATCCGATGCATACAACTAACTGATAAAAGCGGACATTATGGACGTTGCATTATACAATCGATCACGGTAATACTCTCCCGGTTGATCACCCCGAAATGTACTGAACCAACCCTTAACCGATCCTCGACCAAAGATCCAAAGGGAGAAAATCGCTCCCCGCACTTGATTGCACTCGCACGCTGCGAGCCTCGCAGAGACAATGTCCAATTTATTGTTAGTCTCATCGTAGAAACGCATGCCTGATAGATTGTTATGTGTATGCGTTATATGCGTTAACGAGGACATAGTCTGAATGCATAAAATACATATACAGATACACACGCGTACATACACGGATATGTATACACGACACTTGCATGTCAATAATTCTCGTCGATAGAGTCTCAATCTTTTATTGAATAGTCGTAGAAAGGAAAAAAAAGAATGGACTTTATGGCCGTGTCACACTAGCGATTTGAGTCTGTGTCTATTGACCAATCAGAAAGAAGCTACTCTAGTTCCTTTTTGATTGGTCAAGAAATCCAGGTCGAAAGTTATCCTTATGCGATTTTTTAAAATATTTTAGCCATTATTTGGACATATCTTTGTATTTTCCTCTCAAAAAGTCTCCCAAAAAAAACTCGAAATTTAGAAAAATCCCCCAACCTGGCAACAATGACGTAATCACTAATGCGATACGAGTATTATAAAGATAAAATTGTTGTTTTAGATGAAGCTTTACTTTCAAACGCTTCGCCGAGCGGATTCGCAGCATCCAAGATTCTCGCTCAGCGACCGCGGACACTCCCGCATTCGCGTGTTTCAAGATTTCTAAAGTTTCCCTTGTTTCGGAGTTGAGTGATTGTCTGCCACCCGAAACAAGGATCTTTCTGGATTC